CACTCCTTGGAAGGAAGGTTGGGCAATCTCCTTCCGCAGTGATACCACCTCAGAAACCCAAGGAGGGGGTCGCTATGAGTCAGATCCAACTCGACGGCAGTGTATTTCATTGTAGTCTTCTGAATGACATCTTTGCTTCATTATAATTTAGGGAGTTTAATTTGAAATCTTCCTACTCAGTGTATTATGGACAAGGCAGAATGAGTTTTAAATACAGGCTATATGTTTGTTCTTTTAAACATCTTTATTAAGGTATAATTCACATACATATAATTCAGTGTACAGTTCAATTAATTTTAGTATATTCACATATTTGTGTATCAGCCTTCATTACCTAATTCTAGAACATTTTTATTAACCCAGAATGAAGCCTTCCACCCTTCAAACCTCCTATACCCTAGGCAACAGCTAATCTACTTTCTATCTCTGTGCATTTACCTATTGTGGACATTTCATGTAAATGGAGTCACACGACCTTTTATGTTGAGCTTCTTTCACTTAATACAATGTTTTCAAGGTTTATCCATGTTATAATTTGTACTTCATTCCTTTTTATTGATGAATATAACCCATTGTATGAATATACCACAATTTATTTATCTATTCATCAGTTAATGGGCAGTTAGATTGTTTCTACTTTGGGGATTTGATGAATAATGCTGCTATGAATATTCATCTACAATTTTTTTTGTGGACATATATTTTTGTTTTTATTGTATATATACCTGGGGACAGAGTTGTGGCATCATATAATTACTCTGTGTTTAACCATTTAAGAAACTGCCAGACATTTCCCAAAGCAGCTGCACTAGTTTATATTCCTACCAACAGCGTATGAGGGTTTCAATTTCTCCACATCATTGCCAGTCCTTATTACTGCCCATCCTAATGGGTGTGAAGTGGAATCCCATTGTTGTTTTGATTTGATTTCCCTAAAGGAGCTCTAGGGGTACAGTGGTTAAAACACTCAGTTGCTAACCAAAAGGTTGTGATTTGGTTTGAACCCATCCACTGCTCTACAGGAGAAAGATGTTGCAGTCTCTTCTGTAAAGACTTAGAGCCTTGGAAACCCTATGGAGCAGTTCTACTCTGTCCTGTAGGGTCACTATGAGTCAGAATTGACTCAACATCTGTGGGTTTAGTGACAACTGATGTTGAGCATCTTTTCATGGGCTGGTTGGCCACTTACTATCTTCTTAAAAGAAATGTCTATCAAATCCTTTACCTGTTCTTTTTCTTTTCCTTTTTTTTTTTTTTTCAGTTGGAAAGTAGGTATTTGTCTTTATTATTGAATTGTATTAGTTTTTTGTTTATTCTAGAGACAAGCCTTTTATCAGATACAGAATTTGCAAAAAATTTTCTCCCACTCTTCGGATTGTCTTTTTACTTTCTTGATGACATCTAGGTTACGTGTTTTTAATCCCTTAATATTTCTATGTGTTTTTCCTGTTTTCCTTGTCAAGTTGAGGAGTTCCTCAAGTCTGAAAGCTGCTACTCCTTCTTAGTCTTTATTGTATCTGGTAGAGTAGGTTATACATGGTAGATATTCATGAACTTTCTACAGCTAGCCACCTCTGCGCCTAGATGTTTTCCAGACGATCACTTGGTTTCATTCGTGATGAGAGACTGTGGTTTATTGGTTTGTTTTTCTTACAGGTGAATCGATTTAGTAAGGTGGAAGACCGAGCTATTTTTGTCACTGATCGTCACCTGTATAAGATGGATCCCACCAAGCAATACAAGGTGATGAAGACTATCCCCCTCTACAATGTGAGTACTCTTTGCTGCTCTCTGAATAAAAGATGATTAACCTGGTGGAATGGACCACTAGTGGGTTGATAGACTGACCCCTAGAATCGTTGAGGCTTTAGGGATCCCTAAATGTTGTATTTTGAACAAATAAACTATTTTTCATGAAGAAGGTCCAAATTTTCCAACAGACTAACAAAGGATTTTTTTTTTTTCCGAAAGTATAAGGAGTACTGGATTCTGTGTGCACTTTCTCTAGTCTTAACCCTATTCACTGCTTAAATTTGGTAGAATAGATATATTTTTCTAGTTTATTTTCATAAGGTTTATTTTTATATGGAAATGAAATCAGGAGGGAATGAATTTATTAAAACATTATGAAACTTTATGAAAACATTGCCGCTTCTTTAATTACAGAATCGATGCTGCATCCAGAAGTTCTTTTCCACCAATATATTTACACACGTATTGTTGCTGGTTGTGTGATCTCTGATCTAAATTCACTCTGTTATAAACACCCATTCCATAGGATATTTAAATTCGATCATTAGTTCTCTGCCACTCATTTGTCAGTTTGTCATACTGCTGTGCCTAACATGTTGCTGTAAGGCTGAAGGTTATGCCACTGGTATTTCAAATACCAGCAGGGTGACTAATGGTGGACAGATTTCAGTGGAGCGTCCAGACTAAGACAGACTTGGAAGAAGGAAAGGGCCATCTACTTCTCAAAGAATTGACCAGTGAACACCTTATGAATAGCAATGGAACATTGTCTGATATATTACTGGAAAACTTTATGAATAGCCCTGAATTGTGAGGCTAGTGTAGAACTGAGCAGTGTTTCCTTCTGTTGTCTATAAGGTCACTATGAGTGACAGCTGACTCAACAGCACCTAACAACAACATAATTAGTTCTTATTTGACATTTCTGGGTTTCTCCTTGACTCTCAATATGATATTTTATATATTTTCTTTCTTTCTTTCTTTCTTTATGAGGGCTGCTTTACAAGCGACTACACCCTCTTCACTTATGGACGTAGTTAGGTTCCAAAGATCAGGTCGTCACGTGAAAATTGACATCATGCAAAAATGGAAGATGACTACATCATTACATAATTGCCAAATTACATCATTGTATAACTGCCAAACCACTGAGAATCATGGCCCAGCCAAGGTGACACAGAACCTTAGCCATCACAGCTAGCATTATTGTCACCTTGCACCTCGGTATTCATTACTGCCAAACATGTGTCATTAATGTGCACAATAGTCAAATAGAAGATTTTTCACTAATGTTTGCATATGTAAAATGTTGGATAACGAGATAGTTGATAAGTGAGGAGAGGGCATATTTGTCCTGATTCTTCAGAAGGCTCTTTCCTGGACTATTGGATCTTTTCATGTGCCAGATGATTTTTGTCTGACTGCTGTTCTCAAAGAAGAGGGTCTCTGCTTGTCCAATACTGGGAGCTATAGCAAAGAACCAAAACCAAACTCACTGCCGTCAAGTTGGATCTGACTCATAGCAACCCCTCCTTGGGTTTCCAAGGCGGTATCACTACAGAAGTAGATTACCAAATATTCCTTCTGAGGAGTGGCTGGTGGGCTTGAGTCACCAGCCTTCTGGTTAGCAATCAAGTGCCTTAGAGAGATTATTTTAAATCCTCCTGGTCTCTACAAATGAAATAGAAAACAATTTTATTGTTTTATAGTTTAATTTTGTTAAATCAGAGATCCTGCTGGTGGTGAAGGAGCCCTGATAGTACAGTGGTAAAAGTGGTCTGCTGCTAATCAAAATGTCAGTAAGTAGTTCAAAGCCACCAGCCATTCTATGGAAGAAAGATGTGGCAATCTGCTTCTGCAAAGATTTGCAGCCTTGGAAACCCTATAGGGCAGTTCTATTCTGTCATATAGGGTCTCTGTGAGCCAGAATCAACTTGACAGCAGTTAGTGGGTTGGTGGTGAGATACAAAGAAGGCAGACTATTCCCAGCTTTGCAGAATGGTTTAGAGCATCACTGCATGCTTATTGCCCTGGTGATGGGGTGGACATTTGTCACTACACCCCGTACACACATACACACACACCCCTCTCCCTTTCTATTGAAAGCCTAATGGATTGTAGCTGAGAAGAAAATGATATTCTAAGTCAATCTTGATTGTATCTAGTCTTCTTAGCAGAGACTTGTAATCTTATATATCAATCACAGTTTAATAAGCCTAATAACCCAAAATCTTATAGTAGGAGATGAAGGAAGATGAGGGAAAAAATCATTTTGTCAAAGCCTAGTGAAGGGTAGCCAAATAAAGATAAATTTTGGTATGTATGTTATTTCTTTGCCTTACTTTCTATTAAATCAGGCACACGATATAAATTCAATAAACAGTTAACAACTGATTGAACTCAAGTTATTTTCCCAAACTACCTTCCCTTTTCATGTGGACTGGTTTATTTATAGTCACTATTTCCCTCTTCATAATTATTAATGTCAATAATATTTTATAATATCATTTTAAAAATTAGCAATTGTAATAGATATAAAACAATGTCAGTAGGATAGATACATGCTGTCCCATATGCTATCAGTGGTCCAGCCATATTCCCTTGGATTCCATTATCATTTTTATGTACATCAGCCTTACTTCCAATAGCCAACTTCTTTGTCTGAAACCTGACAGGACCTACTTTGGACTGTAAGTGCCTACTCACCCTCAGCCACCTGATGACTAATGGATGTGGGACTGCAGTATTTGCCAACTTCTTGACCAAGATAACTGTGAGATGTATATTTTACACCATTTTCTAAAGCTTCTCTGCAGGAAATAAGGGAAAGGGACAGAGAGTGTAAGGGTATGGTAATTTTAAGTAGGATGATCAGGCCTCTCTGAGAGGTTGTCCTTAAGCAAAGACTTGAAGGAAGAAAGGATGTACCATGTATTTACTTGGTGGGAAAGAATGTTAGGCAGAAGGAGTAGCAAAGACACTGGAGCATGAACATGCCTGGTATGTTGAAGAAGAATGTGATTTGAGCAGGTGGTAAGGATGGCAGTAGCCAGAAGTGAAATAAGACCAGACCACACAGAACCTTACAAGCCATTTTAAGAACCTGGACTTTTATTCTGAGGGAGTTGGGGAGCCATTGGAGAATTTGGATCAGAGGAATAATTAACTTAAATTTTAATGGGATCTCTCTGGTTTTGAGAAAAACTAAGGAGGGAGGAGGTGACAAAGAGAAACAATAAAACCAACGAGACTAGATAGGAGGCTTCTGCGCTAATTCAGGCAACAGATGATGTTCACTTTGACTAATATGACAGCAGGAGAGGTAGTAAGAGTAGTCAGACTCTAGATGTGCTTTCAAGGTAAAACCAGTGGCTTTGCTGGTGGATTAGATGTGGAGTTTGAAAGAAAGAGAAGTTAAGGATGGCTCATCAGTTTTTTGACCTAAACACTTAGAAGGGTTGTTGTTGTTGTTTGCCGTCGAGTCGGCCCCGACTCATAGCGACCCCTCCTTGGGTTTCTGAGGCAGTATCACTACGGAAGTAGGATTGCCCCACCTTCCTTCCGAGGAGTGGCTGGTGGGTTTGAACCGCCAGCCTTCTGGTGAGCAGTCAAGTGCCTTAGCCACTATGCTACCAGAGCTCCTTAGAAGGGTAGTTGCCATTAACTGAGACAGAAGACTGCAAAGAGAGTGGATGTGGACGTGGGAGAGACTAGGAGGTCTGTTTCTGCCATGTTAAGATTGTGACTTCTGGTAGCCCAGTGAAGATGACAGCCAGGATGTGGCTCATTCACTTCAACAAGACTGTAGTTCTTCAGTCTCTGTTTCTTCTTCAGTAACTTCTGTTGTCTTCCTCACAGTCAACTATCTGAGTCTCTACATTTTTTTCTGATCAGATTCTAGAAGGAGGTATCCCAGTAGGCCCAGTTCAGTGTTTTCAAATATTTTTAAAACCCCTGTTTGAGCAAAATCTTATGCAGAAGCCCAATATGTAAAATGGATTTTGAAAAGGGGGGAGGGTGTTCCCTCTGGTCGAAGCATCATGAAAACCTAGGAAGGAACTCCGTCTGCCCAGCCACCTCAGCGCCCCTTCAGAGCTGTTTGAAAATCAGTGGTAGGACTTCTTAAACAGTGATTCCCTATGTTCACACCTTCTGTGCTTCAAACACATAGTGACAGGCACCTACTCTTCTGACTCTGTCACTCCCAATTTGATAAGCCTGTTTTTGAACTTCATATAAATGGAAACATCACAGTATATACTCTTTTGTGTCTGCTTTCACTTAAGATTAAGTCTATGAGATTTGTTTATGCTGCATGTAGTTACAGCTTTTGATTCTTATTGCTATTAAACATTCAGTTATATTCATATACCACAATGTATCAATTCTACTGTTAACCAGCATTTGGGTAAAAACTCAAAACTCACAGCTGACAAGTCAGATCCTACTCATAGCGACCCCTCCTTGGGTTTCTGAGGTGGTATCACTGTGGAAATAGATTGTCAGGACTACACCATATCTTTTAAACAAAAACAAAGCAAACTCACTGCCACCGAGTTGACTCCAACTCATAGTGACCCCTCCTTGGGTTTCCAAGGCAGTATCTCTATGGAAATAGATTGCCCAGTCTTCCTTCTGAGGAGTGGCTGGTGTCTTTGAACTGCCAGCCTTCTGGTTAGCAGTCAAATGCATTAGGCATTATGCCACCAGAGCTCCTCCATATCTTTTGGGGGGACACAATTCAATCCCTAACAGGAGTCTACCTTCTACTAATGGCCTAGTGCTTACCAGGTAGAATACTTGGGGCTACGTGAAGAATTTGTTCTTAGAGCAGAAAAAAAGCCTACAAACTCTAAGTTCATTTATTGCTTGTGAAAGAGCCTTTCTTTTGTATGTATTTTCAATTTATGTAACTACCATAAGAATGCATTATCTTGAAGCTGACAGTCTACAGCACTGCCATTATCCCTAAATTATTTTTAAATATAAGAAGTCAATAACAAACAAAATGTGTATGA